GAGATCACAAGTAGGCAGAGAGGCAGGCAGAGAGAGAGGGGAAAGCAGGCTTACCGCTAAGCAGAGAGCCTGATGCAGGGCTCAATCCGAGGACCCTGGGATAATGACCTGAGCCAAAGGCAGAGGCTTTAACCCACTGTGCCACCCAGGCGCCCCTGTGTTGTTACTTTAAAAGGCTAATTAATTTTAGCCTATTTTAATGGATTCTGGTGAGTAAGGGCTGGAGATTAATGCTTTCAGTGTATTTTACAATTGCCAGGCCCTCATTAAAGTTTAGGTATTATGTTTTGTCTCCCAAATGATGAAGAATGGATAAGAACAATAAAAATGATAAAAGGGATAGAGATAGGGCATTTGGAAAAAAAAAAGAAAGAAAAGATTGTTCAGTCTCGAAAATAAAAAGTAAAAGAGGGCTTTAGATTATCTCATGAATATGAAGGGTTAGCACAAGGAAAGTGGTAGGTTCTTAATCACTAAAGTGAAACAAAATTAAATTAGTTTACATTGAAGAAAGAATGTGATGATAGTGATGATGCAATCCAGTGTCACTGAGGACACAGACATTAAAAATCTTAATCCTTAGAGATCTTTACAGTCTAGAGTGGGTTTGAGGGTGTCCCACTGTGATATCTGACCCTGTAATTACCACGCACATTCCTCCCACATCTGATGTCGGTGTTGCAAAGAAGGGCTTCCTTTGCAAAGACAGGACCATAAGACCTCTTAGAATTCTCCTGATTCTTTCCTTGAAATTCAGTAACTGGAAAATTCCTTGAAATACATTCCAGTTTTTTTTTTTTTTTTTTCCTTTTTAACAAAAGGATAAGTGGCAGACAATTGATTGCCCACCTGTAGCAGCTGCTACTGGTGCCCGGAACATATCGTTTCATTCGTATGTATGCAGTGTATGTAGATGGGAATCTCTACCCCAGGGCTTTCTTCCAACCAGTGGGTAGGGCAGTTACTTGACCTTATTGGGGCTGATACAAAATCTGGGTATGGATTTGCTAGTCTTACCCACTGAGTCTTGGCAGCACCACAATCTGAGGGCTCAGAGAGTGTCTAATTTGCTACGGTGGGATCTTACATAATACTGTTCTGCCATCAAGGGACTCATTTTATGGCAGAGTAGCAATGACAAGCCTGTGACTACAGGATCCATGCATCCTGTCATGATACTTCATTCTCCATAAGTACATAAGTACTGATAAAACATTTTCTTTTTTTTAAAGGAAATTTTACACTAAATGTGGGCCCTGTCCTTTAAAATGCCCTTCATATAGCTTGAACCAGAGGACAGAGAATGCCATGTGCCAGTTGCTAGACTATCCACTCCCAGCCCTAATAGAGGATGTATGAGTGAGCTAAGTTTATCAGGGCCATTTCATTTGTTAGTGATTGGTTTAGGAGAAGTGGGCTGAGTGTGTCTTGGAAAGATGGAGTTCCAGAATAAACACATACTGACATGTAGGAGAAGCTACCGTTCCCTTCTGGCTTTGGAAATATTGTGTAAACATAATGCTCGGAACCATGACAGCCATCTTGTAACCAAGAAGGGAGAGACCATAGATGCTGAGAATGGCAGGGTTAAGAGACAGAATGAGGTAGGTTCTCGATAACACCAGTGAGCCTTTGAAGCAACTCTGGAATTGCCTTCCTGTGGACATTTTAAGTGAGATAACCGACGGTTTTATTGTTTGAGCACTTTTAGTCAGAGATGGGTACTTTTCAGGTGATATCTGCAGCAGATACCGCTGATGGGCTTTCTTTCCCACACTTATTCCTACCCGTGGCTATTTTCATGTTGACAGTGTCTGCTTTCCTATAGAGAGGCCCAAACCGCCAACACTTTCCCAGGGTCCCTTCCAGCTAGAATGTGAACATGTGACCCAATTCCGACCAATAGGACTTCAGGATCAGTCTGAGTCATCTGAGAAAGGATTTCCTCCTTAATAAGAAGTGGCGTTAGGAAAGATGCCCCTAGTTTTTGGCTAGATGCTGTTGTGTCTTCATGTGACACCTGAAACCACGCCTGCCACCTGTGACCAAGATGGCTTAAGGATGAAGCCGATATACTGAGAGTGAAAGATGGTAAAAGCTCAGATCCTCAGTCACATGGCAGATTCTCTGGGCCCATTTTGGACTTGACCTGTCTCTTGAGTTATCTCTATGTGAGGCCAATAATCGTCATAGTTTTTTGTTGAGTGTTTTGCTCCTTCAAGTCAGAACCATTTTGCCTCAAACATAGAGTATCCTCTGCTACCTCAGCTCCCCCAACTCCTTCTCAATCCCCAGAAATGAAAGAACAAAAAGGTTTCTGTTAAACTTCTGAACATTGGCTGGCCCTGGTTTTACATTATAATGATTATGGAAAATGTTAGTAGTAGTTTGCCATGTGGTCACAGACTATTTCTGCGACCCTTCACATAAAACAGATCATTAAGTGTTCTGGAGAATTACAAAGACATCTCCCTGAATGCCCCTGCAATTTGGAGAAATAACAAAACTATAAAAGGTACTGTTGGATGTTTTCATTTAGTTGGCCGTTATAGTTTCTGAACTGAGTTCTTCTAAAAAGAGGGAAAGTGAAGCCAAATTCCATACCTCTCAAAAGCTCTAAATAAAAATAAAAATACACTGGAAACTTTGCTAAAAGAAAAACAACTGTATATGTATTATTTTATTTGAAAAGCAAAACTTCTAGAGACTAGAAAAATTATATTTGTTTAGCCTAAGCTAACAAGATGAGAATTTAGAATTTTAATTCCAAGGAATATTTTGTTTTAAAAACATGTCATATATATATGTATGTATATACACACATATTTTATAATATAAGAAAGAGATAATGAAGAAAGATGTGAAGATGTTGCTGGAATTCTATTAGTCTGCTTCGTACTTATTGATGGAAAAAAACTTTTAATACTGGTTTTCCTAAGATATATACATATACATATGTATTTATATTTACTTTCCTCACTTGGAAATTACTTCTTTTCCTATAGGCTTTTCTGGTTTTGGAACTACCATTTATCTTTTTTTTTTTTTAAGATTTTATTTATTTATTTGACAGAGAGAGAGATCACAAGCAGGCAGAGAGGCAGGCAGAGAGAGGCGGGGTGGGGGCGTGGGGGGTGGGGAAGCAGGCTTCCCGCTGAGCATGGAGACCGATTCGGGGCTGGATCCCAGGACCCTGGGATCATGACTGAGCTGAAGGCAGACACTTAACCGACTGAGCCACTCAGGCACCCTGGAACTATCATTTGTACTGTACTTCCCTCTGCATGCAGAAAAATAGTGGTCTTTTATTTTATTAAAAGATTTTTATTTATTTATTTGACAAATCACAAGTAGTCAGAGAGGCAGGCAGAGAGAGAGAGGAGGAAGCAGGCTCCCTACTGAGCAGAGAGCCCGATGGGATGTGGGGCTCGATCCCAGGACCCTGAGACCATGACCTGAGCCAAAGGTAGAGGCTTTAACCCACTGAGCCACCCAGATACCCCATTGGTGATCTTTTTAGATAATTCTGCATTCCATTAGTCTTCAGGGTCTATCCTTTGATAGCATCTCTATAGATTAGCAGCAGCTGAACACATTTTGTACTGGAGGAACAGGTTGCCTGAATCAGGTATCCACTCCTTTAGGTACCTAAATTGGCCTCGGGCCCAAGGTGAGAGAGCTTTCTTTGCTCTGTGCACCATCACTCCACCCTAGTTCAAGTTCAGACGCCTTCACTGATTTTAGAAATTCTCTTGGGAAGTGCGCCCTTGCTTTCAGCCTGAGGCTGGCTCAGAAACGTCACCTTTCACCCACTTAAAGAAGTTTTGCATGGAAGGGAGATTTACTATTCAAGTAGCTATTTCTAGCTCCTTCACTGCTTAAAAAAAAGAAAACCAAAACCCTCCAAATCATTTTTATTTCCTGTGGTATCAGATCTGACTTAATGTTATAACTTTGTTAACAGACCAACTAAATATTTCGTTAGGTTAAAAAAAAAGGAAAAAGTCTAACCGTCCTACCACTAGGGTAATGAAAGTCATCTTTTTTATAGAGCACTGCGGTAGTTGTTTTAGTCATTTGTGTTTTGGTTTGCATTTGTTTGCTTGTGGGGAGGCAGTGTACCCGCTCTCAGGTCTTCTTTCCTTTTGGGGTTTTTTAAAATGAGATAAATTCTTTAAAATACAGTAACACTTCTAGATTCAGAAGTAGAATGTCCAGAAACAATAGTTTGGAGTAAACTTTAGCTTTATGACAACAAATATCAGTCTTGTATAGATAGCGCGTGCATTTAGTTAAGATGGGTTATTTGCTGGGCTAAGTGAAGCCAAAGCAAGAGAAATAATAGAGGAATTTGCTTTGAATCTTGGGAGTCCCTCTTGCTTCAGATATTTCCGAAAATGATTTTATTTTACAAAATTTGTCAACAATGTGCGCAAGAACAGGATAAATGATCCAGTTAAGAATGAAAATGATATGCATATAATTTCATGATCTATGTTCAGATTTAAACACCACAGCAGTAACTGCGTTTCTAGTTATTTTTCGAGGGGAGGGGCGGTCTTTTCCCCCCGGAGAAACAGCCCCCTTGCAGACCCTCCCGGAGCTGCCGGCCCTCCGCCCACGTCGCGGCCGCCGAGCCCGCCTCCCCTCCCCCAGCCGCCACGGTGCGATCCCTCCCTCCGGCCGGGTCCCCACCCCTCGGCCGGTGGCGGCTGGGTCCCGTCCGCGGCGGCTCCGCGAACGACCCGTAGTAACCCCGTCCCGCCCCTGGCCGACCGCGCCGCGCTCCCCCGCCGGAATTCGATAGGCCCAGCCCCGCACGCGCCACCGCCCGCTGGCCAATGGGCGGCGGCCTCTCTGCATATGCAACGAGCGCCGGCCGGGGGTACGCGTCCCTGGCGGTTCGGCTCAACAGACGCTGGTCTGCTGGCGCCGGCCTGCGACGCTGGGATTGTGGCCCCGGCCGGGGCAGGGACGAGGTGGCGGCGGCAGCGGCCGGGACAGCAGACGGTCGCCCTCTTAGAGTGCGGCGGCGCCAGGGTCCCCAGGAGGCGGCACGGGGCGTGAATGCTCTGGGGGCGCAGCCAGGCCTGCGTGGGCCCGAGGCTGGAGGAACCGGGGCTCCGGCGTCGTGGTGAGTGTGGCGCCCGTTGTGGGAGCGGCGGGGGCTGGTCGGCGGCGCGGCCTCAGCGTGCGGCCGGGCTGAGCCCGAGGGCGGCGCGGGTTTGGGGCCCGGATGTGGCCGCGGAGCCAGGCCCCGGGGCTGTGCGCCGCGGGGGTTGCGTGGCGGCCCGCGGCGTGTGTGTGTGTGTGTGTGTGTGTGGGTGTGTGTGTGTGTGGAAAAGCCGGGCAGGTTGGGAGGCGCCGCCGTGGGGTCTGGGAAGCTGGTGACGTGGGGCCTGGGCCGAAGGGCCCACGTGAGCGTGGGGAACGGCAGCCGGGTGACTGCGCGGTCCGGGGGAGGAAGGGTGTCCCGCGTCCCTCCCGGCGCTGTGGGGGCGGACGGCATGGGGGGCTGGCGTCTTTCTTTGGGTGGGCGTAGACACGTTCCTGCGAGGAAACTGAGCCCTGCGGTTTCGGGAAGCCCTGCTGGAGGGACCGGCGGGGGTGTGTGTGGCCGCCGACTGTGGGGAGAAATTGGGCGGCTGAGCAGGGGCGACCTTGGTATTTGTTGTAGCCGCGATGGGTGCTGGTGGGCTAGGATTGACCGGTGGTTGGGGTTGAGAGTTGCGGGTTTACTTTTCCCTAAGTGCGGTTTAATACATCAGTAACAGAATGTGTCACTCTGAGGTGGTGCTCGCGCTATCAGCAGTCCTGCGGGGGAGGGATGATCAGGCCCGCTTCCTAGGTGAGCATCCCGAGGCAGACATTTAACTGGTTTATCCAGTCTGCATTTAGAAAATGTGCTCTAAGCTATTGCATATATGACCCCTCAAAAATAGAAAGGGTAGAGCAACATCTTCAGAATTTTATGGAAGCTAGAGGAGGAATAGGCCTGTGTGAAAGCGATCACCGCTGAATACAGTGACAAATAGTTGACAATTTATTGAGGCTTTATTACATGCCAGGCACTGTACTAAGTGCTTTATGCACAGTACCTTCACACAGTTAACAGCCCTCTAGGGTAATGCTTATTCCCATTTTACAGCTGGAGAAACTGCAGTTTGGACGCATTAACTTGCCGCAGATCACAGCCTGTTAAGAGAAGCTGGGATTCTGACCGGCCTGTGTTAAAACCCAGAGCTCTTGCATCTAACCACTTGTATTATGCTGCCTCTCCTTGGTGGTTGGCTGAATGGTTGCCACCGTGAATTTTTTTTTTTGGGGGGGGGGGGGGGGGTGGGCCAGGAGAGCTGTAGTTTGATGACCTTCATTCCTGATTATCACAGCCTTTTTTGTTTCCCCAGATTAGTCCTGGGAGCTGAAGGTTGTTGCCCTGTTGTCTGAAAGTGTATTAGAAGGTTATTGAAGGGAAGAGGTGTTATGAGATGGTAGTCATTTGCCCAGACTTTATTCTTTTGTTTTCTGGAATCTTACTCTGCAGTTCTTACCTTGGGGATGACTAAGACTTCTGTAGTCACTGTGGCATGTTCTTTAGACTTTTCAAGCTATCTTTTACGGGAAGGGTCAAGGTGACAAATCACCTCGTGTCGTCAAGTCTCTGTTACTGGATTTGTTAAGATATTTCGACAGGATTTAAAGCTGAAATACTCTGAGTCTAAAATGCCCTTCTTGAAGAAGAAAGGAAGAAGAAGGAAGGTTTGAAAGAAATGAAAGATGGGTAAATTATGAGAATGGAAATTATGAAAGGAAGTAAATTATGACAGGGTAAATTATGAAAAGAAGAAGGAAGAAGGTTTGAAAGAAATGAAAGATGGGTAAATTATGAGCGGAAAATCATGCTGTATCTGGTGGGGGTGTGTGTCAGATCTCAAAGCCTCAGGATCTTGTGCTTCCCTGCTGTCTGGTTCTGCTTAAATGACTCTTTCCATTCCTCATTCAATTAATTGCTCAGCCAGAGCCTTTCACTCATGTTGTATTTTAGGTCCCATGTAAGGCTGGGAATATAGTGTTGAACAGAACTGATGTGATCCTTACTTTCATGTAGGAAACAGATAAGCAAATCATCATACAGATAAATACTTAATTACAAATTATGAGAAGTGCAATGCAGGAGAAGTGTGTGAATGAAGATTTTAGTGAGGATTATGATTTAGATGGAAAGTAGGGAGTTTTTTGAATTGATAAGGTGAGGTTTTACAATCTTGCTTTCTGAGTCTCTAATTAAATGTGCCTAATGCAAGAGTTTGAGAACTTTTGAACACTAATGTTCTTTTCATTTCATGGTGTCTGATCCTACTCAGAATACCACTCTAGCTCATGTTACAAGATGGAAAATGAGATCGGGAGCTTTTTGAAGCAGTCATTCTGCCTTACAGCCTAACTGTTCTGTAGTACTTAAATTTTCCCCTCTCAACATGAATATTTGGGAACCAAGAATCTTTATCTAAACTTTGGACTTGATAGGAGTTGGATGTTTTCAGAAAAGCCAGGCCAAAAAGGTGACAGGTTTTCCTAACTTGAGAAAAGTAGCATCATGATTATCAGAAGTATCCAGGGTAGTTATATTTGACTTAAAATTCTCACCTCTTAGGAGACAAAATGATTATGTGGTTTGGGAAATACAAACTGTTAAGTACATGAATATTTCAGTTGAATGTGTATTAAGGCAGTACAAATAATTCATTGCAATGCATATACTGAAATACCGTCTGCATGCAAAACACTGCTAGGTGTACCATGTGGAAAAGTAAAAAGGTGAATTTGACAAAGTCCGTTTTCAAGGAGATTTAAATTTAATGAATAGTAATGCTCAGATTTAAGTCACGTCTCTCCCCCCAGCCTTTTCAAAGTACTCATGTTAGCCCATTTGATCCTTTTAAAAGCCTTGTATCACCAGGAGAAATACTGAGAAAAAGGAAATTTGGTGGTAAAATTGCCAGACATGGTGATTAATAGTTGGGAGAAGCTGTACAGTGATTACTAGTTTACTGTCTTGGAGCCATCATACAGAGGTGATGTAGACTCCTGGGCTTGGGTGAGATTGTCTGTGGAGAGGCTAGAATGAGAACAGGTGGAGGCCTGGGATGGAGCTGGGGGTAGAGGAGGCTGAACTTGGCAAATGAGATGGAAGGAGTGGCCAGGGAACCTGGCTCAGGTGGGAGCCGTAGCTGGAGTGGTATCCCTGCAGCCAGTGGGGGAGCTAAGAGGGAAATTGAGTAACATCCTATGGATTTAGCGACTCTGAGGTCATGAGTGCCCTTTTGCAGGTGATGTTGATGGGGTGGGAAGCAGAAGCAAGTAGAAGGTGAAGAAAATGGAGATAGCAAGAACAGGAAACTTTCTAGAGTTTTGATTTTTTTATCATTTAAGTTTAAATTCTGATGGGAAGGTGTTCATTGAAAGGGAGAGGTTGAATACAGATGAGAAAAGTATTTGCTTATTTTTGCAAAGTTCCTGAGAAGATGGAAGGGGGTGGGATCCAAATGAGGCCTGAACCTTAGCCAGGAGGAGGGACACCTTTTCTGTAGTAATCCAGGACAGGCCCCTAACTGATCTGACACTAGTCAGTACTTTATCCTGGAGCCTTGGCAATTTTCCAATAATTACCAAGAACTGTTAAATTCCAAAAAACTAGCTCAATTTTAGCTGACCCGATAGGTTCTTTACAAAACCTCACTATAGAAGCTTTGCGTGAAATTGATTTAATGTGTGATTTAATTTTGATTTCATCCACCTTAATGGGGTATGTACTTTAATCTGACTTGTGATTATTGTTTCTCTCCTGAAAAAGGAGACATTATAAACATTGTCCTGTGATTTCTTCTACATGCTCTTTTTAGTTTCATAAGAAACAGTTTTTAGACTACTTCTGTTTCCCTGACATTTTAAATGACTTAGTTTTTTTCATTTAAAAGTTTAGCTTCTTGGGCACCTGGGTGGCTCAATTAATTGCCTGCCTGGTCCGAGGGTCCTGAGGTTGAACCTCGAATATGGCTCCCTGCTTTGGGGAGGAGGGGGAGCTGCTTCTCTCTCTTCCTCTGCTATTCCACCTTGCTTGTGCTCTCCCTCTCCCTATGTCAAATAAAATCTTTTAAATAAAAGTTTAGCTTTTGTTTTTACCGGAATATGTTTTACATACATACTTGTAATTCCCACTCTGAGGGATAAAGTATTAATTGGTGGATGATTCAGAGGGTTCAACTGATCTGCTAATTCTTAAATAGAACTGAAGATACCTAGATAACCTTTGGGATAAACCAACTTCAGTTACAGGTTTCTACTTGCCCTTGTATTTGTTATATGTAGGGAGACTGCTTTATTCATGCATATATTTATTTAATGCCTGTCTTGCAAGACACTGGGAATTTGAAAATGATTGATAGTTTCTGTTCAGAGTGCTCTTCTTCGTTGATGGAAGTAAGTTGTATGAACATTATATGGTGTAGGCAAGGAAGGTGTAAGGACAGAAGTATTGCAGTGTGGTGTAACCAGTACAGACAGTAGGAGAGGAAGAAGGGGAGATTTTGCAGTGGAGGTGATAGTGACCTGAGTCTTTTTCTTTTCTTTCTTTTTTTTTTCTTAAATACTTTATTTGACAGAGATCTCAAGTAGGCAGAGAGAGAGAGAGAGAGAGAGGGAAGCAGGCTCCCCACTGAGCAGAGAACCTGATGCGGGGTTCGATCCCGGGACCCTGGGATCATGACCTGAGCTGAAGGCAGAGGCTTTAACCCACTGAGCCACCCAGGTGCCCTGATAGCGTGGTTTTCTAAGATGAATTGGGCTGAAGGGAACAAGGGAGCCAGGGAATAGAAAGTTTGTCTTGAATTTGGTCCAGGTGTGTATGTCTACAAATATGTACATATTGGAGATAGTATAATATCAAAGAATATTAGAAAAATAAAAAGCTTATCTTGCTATCCTAACATTGCTCAAGAGGTCAAAAGCTGTCCATTTTTCTGTTTGTCATGGTCAGCCTTTCTGTCCCCTACTTCACTTAGAAAGTAACCACAATTAACACTTTTCCTGCTACAAAGCTTAGTTTTTCCTCTTCTAGACGATTGGTCTTTGGAA